TAGTCTTGCTACCACTATTAGATTTAATTGTAAACCGAAAGAATGCTGAAACGGTCCGTAGTGCTGAGGGGAATTGCAGTACAGAAAATTCTTTGTGGGCTCATCGCTATGAGCAACCATTTTCACTTTACACATCCATCCACGGTCAATATAAAAATATTGATTAGAGCAGCTCCCAGTGTTTTAGTTGGAAAACCTTGCAATTTGAAAAAAGTGACAAAATGTTAGTTTAGTGTTTTTGGTTTTCAAGGCAAAACTGTAGCAATGTATCTATTTTGATTGATAAAAAACAGAAAATCTGTTAAAATCAGTAATAAAAACAAATTTGTTGTAGCTGAATTTAAGAATCTTAATTTGTACTTTTAACACCTGGTAGTTTAGCAATAAAAATGCAAACTTTTGGATGTGTGGTAACATGTCAGCTTTATCTTTACAGTATAACTACTTGTGGACTATTTCCTTGATTTTGTTTTCTTTTTTATACATATCAAGCAGTGAAAACAAGTCACAGTGACAAAAAAATGACATCAACTTCTCTCACAGAGTGCAGGGTTTAGTTTACACCACTTAAGCAGATGACAAATCCTCCTAATTGAAGCCGATTCTTTTTGAGAGACCATAAAAGTAACATAACATGTCACCAACATTTAAATACTGAAATTTAATTTGCACATGAAAGCAGCAGCGCTTTCTGCATAATGACAGAATAGCAGCAGCGGCAGAGGAGGACCAGAAACCAACAAGTGTATTTAAAAACAATAGTTCCCTGTGGAACGTGTGGATTACACCAATAAAAACAGACTATCACCACTGCTCATAAGCAACACTGAATCCTCCCTGATGACTCAAACACAAAACACTGGGAAAGAAATGCATAAAAACATTAAACAAGTGAGAAAGAGAGCATGGGTTATTACTGCAAAGAGGATAGATCCAAAACAAGTCCAACAGTGGAGCTGTTGAATTGATTTTGGGTGTAAATTGTGTTTGTGTGCGAGTGTGTGTGTATGGGAGGGGTCAGGAGTAAATATGAACTGATGCGGCATCTGTTGATGCTTTAAGTGATATATCACTCCATTCCACTTCGTTTAGCATCGCTTCGTCTGAGTTAATTGGTTCACGAGGAGCACTAATTAGGGGGGATGGCCTTGTTTATTGTCACGGCGACGCTCGTTAAGCGGAGAGATCTTTTTTTTATTCTTTCACAACTGGTGACATTAACCCACCCTTCACAAATGTGGGTGGGGGGGTGCGTCAGTGTGTATTTACTTTAGTCTTCGATGTGGCAGCTGCATCTAACAGCTTATGTGTGGCAGAGTGAAGCACACACACACAGCTTCACAACATGTACTGTCAACAAATGTATGCGTATGCTGTTCGCTATACACATACTGTAACATACTGACATACGTGAGAATACGTGTTATACATACACACATACACAAGGCGTCCTACCTCTCTACGTCGTGAGGCCCAGCAGGTCTGCTTGACTTTCCAAACCACAGCAGCAACCAGTAACAGAGACAGGAAACAGCTGGAGAGAGGAGAGGGACACAGAATGAGACAGTCAATCAGATATCAATGATTCCTGAGTAGTGCATGAACAAAAGCATGCAGAAAATACACATGGAGTCAGTGGGAGTTAGGGTTATTATAGTTGGCCATAGCTAATGTATACCCTATTGTCTCATCACATGCCCTCGTGTCTGTATTTAAAGACCTGGGAATGAGAACAGGCTTTGAAGTGTGTAGAAGATATTACAGTGATTATACACAAATGAAAAAACACCTATGAATATTATATTCCATTTCTGCCAGTAGAGCCTACTAAATGTTACACACTGGACCTTTAAAGTAATCCGACAACAGTACTTTTTCTCCTGTACTTTTAGCCTTAGTGGACAAAGGACAAGAAGCAAGAGTCCAAATCTGAACCGGAATGAGTTGTAAGTTGCCAATAAATCACCTCCAAAGAAACCTGTGTTGACTCATGGGAGGTACTTAATGATGAATACAGTAAATACAGATCAGTAGTTTAAATATAAAGCTGTCTTTGTGTGGGATACTTAAATACCTACTTAGGGGTGAGTACACACACCTCAACGCATAAATTGTAGCTGTACTCCTGTTATCAGCCATATCAATCTAAAGGGTCAAGAGATGAAAGAAAATACCTGAAACATATTTCTGCTACACAAACTGAACTTTGGGCTTCTCTGTTTTCTTGTAAAATACTGGAAAATAAGTGCACTGGAAAATAACTATTTGGTTAACCCACTCGCTACGTAAGGACATATTCAACCTTTTAAGGGGGCACAAGTTAAAAAGGCTATGCTGCTTCATACTTCATTTGAGTGGAGATTGTACATTTAATAACATGTTGTAGGTGCACTTATACAAGTCTCAGTCCATAAAAAAGTCATAACAGAAGAAGCTACTGCTGACAAGAAACAAAGACACAAAAGAAAATAATTACAAGGAAAATGCAAGAAAAACATAAAATCTAATGTTTTCATGCTTACAGTGCCATTTTAAAAATATGTTTCTGTACATCTCTAAACCATTAAGCAATTATTGGGTTGTTTCTCCACATTATATAACTCCAGTAGTCCAGTATCTGCAGATAACGTAATTTAAATAACAATGTGCTTCATGCTTGCAGTAGTCTTTGTAGTTGTCCTTAAAAAACACTTCCAATTGTAAAAAGGAAAATGAAAAAAAGGCACACAACCACAATACAACCATAAAGCAGATCTTCACACTAATTTACTGCCCTCAAGCTCCACTTTTCAGAGAGCAAAGGCGCCAAAGGAGAGTGAAGTTCTTGGGAAATTTGTGGTGAGCAACAAAACCGCGGTGACCACAGGCAGCTGGGGATTTTAGGACAGCAAAGGGCAGCGAGAGGTCAACGAGCGACATGATGCTCTCTAACAAAGAACAAGGTCTCATGTACACACACACACGCACGCACATACACATTCTCCCTCAAAGTTCAGTGTCTGGAGGCCAAAGTTATCTGGCCAAACACAAAGCTCCTCTCTCAACCAGCACTTCTGACAAGAACTCAAGACAAGCGCACCCAAAGACTTACCAACAGGAAGTCCCTGAGAAACTGCTGAGGACAGCAGTTCCGAAACAATCCTCCTCTTCATCTATCTATGTGTGTGTGTGTGTGTGTGTCTAAGTGAGAGTGCATGTGTGATGTGTCCTCCTGTGTCTCTATGTGAGGATGACAGCATTGTAAAGGGTATTAGTGCTGTAATGAGCGTGACATTTTCAGACCCAGTCTGCTGAAGAGGCTGCACTCATGGCCTCTTCAATCCACAGCCGACCTCTCAGCTGCAGTCAAACAAGCAGGAAATCCCCTCCGGCGATGGAGGCAAGATGCACAGTGCTGCTGCTGGATGAAAACCTTCCGGTTTCAAGATCCCAACTGATGACTTTTTTGAGATGATATGAAAAGTTTTCATCCAATAGACTTGAACGTGTCCTGACACTTTACAGAGATGATTCAACTCTGTATGAGCTATACCATGACTGACCATAGTCATTTTAATCCAATTCATGTTTCTTTAAACTCAAACCATGAGCTTTCCCTAAATCTAAATTAGTTGTTTTGGAGCCTGAACCTAACAGATTTATTTTTAACAGTGATTTGTCATTGGTTTTAGAAGGAACAGGGAAATGTCGTCGTCCTGCCAAAAGAGACATCAGATCAGAAAACCCTTCCATTCCAATATTCTAGAGGGACATGGACAAACAACGTGTTCTGTTGTTAAATTTGGAGGACTTGTAGGGCAGACAAACAATAGCTTCAGTTACATGAAATTGATTTCCATTGTTTATTGACCTCACCTGTTTAAATACTTATTTATCCTATTTTATTTCATCCTGTAAATACCCAACGTATTACCGTTTGCACTGTGGGTCCGAGAGGACTGAAATTTCATCTATGCTGTATGTCGTGCATGTAGCATACTTGACAATAAAGTTGACTTGACTTGACTTTGGGTCAACAGTTCACATGGGATGTGTCTAATACAGTCTGGTGTTTACGTGTGCTAACAGATTGATCAGAACAGCTGTGTGATGTGTGCAAAAGTGATGGATTTGTCCATGCTTTCATAAAGTGGGAAGTCAGTGGGGTCCGATCCACTTCTGTTGTTTTGGGAGCTTTGTAACAGGCGGTCTTCCAGCTGTTTTTAATTCTTTCAACGCTTGGGTGTGTTCTGGCCTTCAACATGTTTGAATAGGTTATTTTCTTTTTTTCCTACTGTCTAGGCATCCAATAATGTTCAGTTCTTTAAGAGTTTGTATCAACAAACAAACTCTCCACAGAGGTCCAGTTTGGAGTGGAAGCTGATTTTTTTTTGGGAGCAAAGAACTGTACCTCCCCAGGCATTTACATCCAAACCGAGGGTGTGTGCAGAAAGAACGCAGCTAAAAAGTAATCCAGTTAAAACGTTTACAATTTTCAAAAAGGTTTAAACTAACCCTCTGCAACTGATTATAGTCTGAGTCTGCAACTCAGGATTATAATGAGAATATTAGGCACAAAGTAAATTCTTGTTACATGACCCAATCTTAATTTCACTGTTTACTTGTTTCTCAAATGCCTATATATAAAATATATATATATAAAATATTATTTTCAAAACAAAATAAATAACTTCACTTGCTTGAGCTAGTAACCCATTTGCATGATCATGAGCACACTGGGCTAGACACCAGATTACAGCAAAGACAAATACACTCAGTAACTCCCCTGCAATGATTTTCTATCCTCCAAATGTACCTTCTAAAAACCCTCCACTGGCTGGGACTCAAATCCAATCAGGCCCAAGATTCCCCATTCCGTCTGTATTACCTCAGCTTGCCATTAATGGGCCACAGGGCCCAAGCTTAGCTATCTAACCAATGGAGTGGAGCGGCTAATTATCGCTATTACCAAGGCATTAGGGGGAAGGGAGAAAGAAGAAGGGGGAGGAGGGGGGAGGAGGGCAGGCCATCCTGTGGGTTTGTTAACACTCCACCGAGCATCTTGATAGGTTCAGGTTTAAGACTGTCCAGCCACAGGTAATAGCAATCGAACTGATTAGTATGGGTAAGAACAAGTTGGGGTCTATGTGAGAGTGTGTACATGATTGTGTGTGTTCTTGTTATTTTAAGTAGTGCCGTTTAAACAAATAAAAGTCAAAAGCACAGTACATATAACACACACACACACACACACACACACACACACACACAGACACACACACAGGAGAACACAGTGAAACATCTGATCCCCAGCGGGCAGAGAGAAAAATCAATAAGCTATTCGTTGAACATGAGCCACAGATAGCACACAATCGGAAACAGCTTTCCATCTGCACAAGCAGCAAACTGACTCTCAGGGTAGAGACAGGCCTCCAGTCCTGAGAGAGAAGCTGTGGGATCTCTTCCTGTAATGTTTTCAACATCTACACTTTTATTTGTTCGCCGCAAGGATCTGTGTCTTTCCCTAACTAGATCTTTCTACTTTCTTTTACCTTTGCATTTTTATTTCAGCAAATGAGAAACATGTGAATAAAGTGAACTAAAGCTTGCCTGTGAACCAGATGGCTACTTTACACATCTAAACATCCTAATAAACTCTTCCTGCTGCTTCCTAAAAATGACTGTCCAGATTTTCAATTTGGAATCCCCTGAATCCCTGTCACACTGTCAGTCAAGTCAGTGTCAAAGCAACTTTTTTCCCTTGTAGAATTCTTGTCCCCATATCTTCACAGGACAACATCAGAGGAAAACCAAAGTTCTACAAAGCAGCTTTGCCTTACAGTCACACCAGTCAAACTATAACTATCCCCAGACCAACTTTTTGGAGATGTATACTGTAAATAAACCAAACCAAACAGTTAAAAAGTCATATGCACAGTTGTGCGCTCAAGTGGTTCCAAGTCCTAATGCAATCAAGATACATATACTGCTCTTGAAGAAAAAAGGCTTCAGAAGTGTCTCACTCCTACTCCTCTCTGTGTAAGTGCCTATGGCTTTTCCTTTTGTACATGTTTAAACAAATAAAGCAATTTCAAAACCAGAAAAGTACAAATAGAGAGACACGTCCACAATGAATCCTGGTGGAAGTGAACCTTGATAGGAACGGTCATTTTGAAATGAAGTGGGCGAGTCTCATGAGCCACTTAGTGCAGAGTAGCTTCTCCTCTGTTTTGGGAAAGAGAGAGAGAAAGGGCGAGAGAGAAACTGATTGCTAATCAAGCGAGCGAGAGCTGGGAGTAATTGGACAAAGCTGAACTGCAGTGTCACCAATTAGCATTTGAGACTGTGGAGAGCGGAGACATAAATGCTGTTTAATTATGGCCATTTTCCTTTTTTCTCCACTTCTTAGAGATGAGAAAGAATACATGAGAAGGATGGATGGAGGGGGAGGAGACAGAAGAAGGAGGGGAGGAGAGTTTTAAACTTTTCAAAAGAAGAAGATCTCACAGATAATCAGGGAGACACAGGAAGTAGAAACCTGAAGCAGCTCAAATAGATTCAGGAGGAAAGGTAATTGCTGAGTTACTAAATTAATTGCTAAGCCAGAATCTCTCTGATTTGAAAAAAAACCCTACGACTTTTAAAAAATGTTACTTACATTGCAGTGGGTAACAAATGAAATACATTGACAGCTTTAGCAGTGAACAGTCTGCAGTTATGCATCCAGTGTAAAGGTTATGTTGATCCAAGCCAGGTTATATTTCCTTCAACGTTTCTGCTTGATGACAGACAGATACATCAATCGATAAGACAACACAGATAGATCTCCAATCTCTCCTTTCAATCAATTCACTTATTTCTATATGAGCTGCATATCTTCCCTCTTTCTTCCTTCCCAGTGCCAGACTGCATCTCATCACTGTGCCTTCTGCCTACAGGCTACCCCCCTCACATGCGCGCACACACACATTTACACACACACAAAAAGGGAGTCATGACTCAGGCTCTTTGGCACTCTGGCTCCTGACCACATCAGCACAGTGGAGCCAACAGAAATGCACATACCCACACATACCTACATAGTGTAGACCCAGACACAAGCATATGAGCTGATAAGCCTGCATCCCTGACATGCACACAACCTATATATGCATGGACTGAAAAAGAAGAAAGTAGTGTATTTCATATAGTGCTGCCCTGAGTTACTTTTCTATAGCAGTTAGATTTTTTTGCACGACTGTTTATGTAAGAGCAGTCATTAGCTCATATCAGCAGTTGCTCTGTAATGGTAGGGTTTCTTATAAAAATTGCTGCTTGTGATGTGTGTTTAAACTAGGTATACACAAGGTATATCCGCCTCTTAAGCCCAGTTCAAAAGATTCCCAACAAGACAAATTAAAACTTGCAACTACTTGATAGCACTGGTCTGCAACATTCGGAAAACTTCACGCCAATGCTACTACACAAGACAGTGTATCGTCTAACTGCCGGCTTTTCAGGCTTTTATTGTAGCTGGTTATAATTTGTAGCATCCTACAATCTAAAACGAGGATAGTGACAGTGAGTTACTTTTTACAGTTTATTGATGAAACGATGAACTCGATTAAATGAGAGGGTTGAGAATTTGGAGCCAGCTTGTATCAGTGATCCTCTCCTTCCTCCATCCAAAACTCTGCCATTTCAATCAGCTGACAGTTTGTAACTGACTTGTTTAGCTGACTTTGCAACAATCCGATTGGTGACGTTCTAGCTCAGCCAGCTTGAGTCGAGTTGAGGCGGGCCAGTTCACACCGCTGCAACTTTTCCCTGCAACTGTTTTGTCTCAATGTGAATCTTTGGTCTGAACTGGGCTCTATGCTTTAATACTACTACTTTCTATTTACACTACTTTCTTCTTTTTCAGTCCTTTACATATATAAGTAAAGGACCTGAATACCTTTCGAGCAGAGAAAAAACATGAACATTACATTACATAACAAGGGCAGTAAATAAACCAACAACAGCTACAAAAAAGTCCTTATAGCTCATAACCTTTTCTCACTGAGAGTCTGGTGCAGTGCAGAAGAGAGCAACTCATAAATAGACCAGTGACTAACACACACACACACACACACACACACACACAAAAGCAACACTGAACTCTCCCGGCAAAACTTGACGCTGTCCCCTACTGATGACATCATCCCTCTATGCTGGCCTAAAGGTCGCTGATGTCCAGAAGCCGGCCGTGGGCACAAAAATGGCTCCCTTCCTCACATGGTTGCACAGTGACACAAACACACTCGAGCATGAACACACAGTGACACATACGTACATATACAGGAAACAACGTGCACATACACACTCGCCCAGATGACTACACACACACACAGGCAGACAAACACACACTTGTCCGGTGTCGTAGCTGAGTGGCAGAATCTTGCCTGAAGACAGCAGACTCCATTCCAGACTTTTTCCCCCAAAACACTCTCTCATTATATCTGCTGTCAGTCTGCATGACAAGCTGTAACATAAATGTCTCTCACACAGTCCAAAAAAAACCCCCAAGAACTCACTGCTTTGTCTGGCTGTTTGGTATTTAATGGACTCGTGGAAATTATGGTTGAGCTTGGAATAATTGCTAGTATTTAAGTATTATTATTTACCTTAAACCTTGTTAAGCACAGATATTATTAAACAACAGAGGACAGGATGTTGTGCTCAGTCTGATTTTGGCCACCAAGCAGCTCCAGGATCCAGGTCAGCCCAATCACAAAAGATCCATACTTAGTGCCAGTGGGATCTAGTTAGTTCCAGATTTTTTTGGTTTTGAGATATCTGTTGCTAATAGTTTTGCTACCACACCACAAACAAAAAAACAAATACATCCACTGCCATGTACTAAGCTAACCAGCAACAGACGGAGTATGCCTGTGTGGCAAATCAGCTCCTGACTGATCTCAGAACTCAACCAAGAACTCCAGCTATTGCATGGTGCCTTTATGTTCGTTAAAATATCTAGAGGTAGCAATATTGGTGAAAAAAAAACATGTACATTCTTATGGGATAATTAGATTAGACATTTACAGTTTAGTGAGATGAGATTGGTGTATGTTTGATTCAAGTAAGTGAATAGGTAGGAAAAAGGGAAGTCATGAATACGGAACATGCATTGGCTGTTCACAGCTCACTAATTTTGCAGGTCAAAGGACATCTAGGTGGACTAAATGTGGTTGAAAAGTATTTTCTAACATCAAGGTTCCATAATACCATTGCTGACTATATTTCAGAGTGAAGTAGGTCTTAAGTAGATGGTGAAATGAGTGGTTAGAGCAAAGGTTATTCAGTATGTAACCTAGACATCCAAACAGCTTACACCTTTAATCCAAACCTAACCCAATTTTAACCTACAGTAGATGACTTGACTCATTTTGACCTGCAAATCAACAAATCATAGTTTACTGCAAAACTGTCCATTTGGTTTACTCATTTTTCACTATCCCAACACATGGGAGTTTCACAATTCTGCTTGTTGCTGTTGAGCAAATGCAGAAGATCGCCAGAGCAGTTGGGGTTTAAGTGTGTTGCCTGAGGCTGCTGCCATCTACTGTAACTCAATGAGTGCAGGTTATGGCCTAGTTGTGCAGAGAGCCTCTGGGAACTGAACCACTGAGCAGCAAAGTCCTGTGAGGAGCAGCTGGATGTTCTGCAGCAAGGCACAGTGCGTACAGTAAATATGACATGACAAAAAACTTACCTGAAGAAGGTGACAAAGAACTGCACCAGGTCCATGATGCTGTTGTGTTGAGAGAAAGCAATCTGGAAAAGGCAATGACCAGAGAAGAAAAGAACAGTTAACAAATACTGCAACCAATACATACACATACTGCAAAGTTAAAAATCTGGGGTCCAGATGTGAAAAAACTATCAAATAAAATAAGAAGAAGAACCACATAATCTAAAACAGGGTTATGAATATTTTGTGGATCAGTAATGTTAACTCAGTGTTAACTCAGTGTTAAAACTGTCCTATATTTTAATCAGTTAACAAACAGTTAAAATGTGGATTTCTTATTTCTTATTCATCTTTTTTAATTTCTATATAAAGCCAATCCTCACATTTCAAATGTAGTTTTAATTTAATTAAATTAAAAATTAATTAATTTAATTAAAATGACACCTACACAAAGACAAACACAACTCTACATCAGTCAGACCTAAATTAAGTTGTTGTTAATGCCTGATGTATAGAATAAATGATTAATTGTATCAGCACTACTTTTTAGTGTATGTACACAATTATGGAACACAAAGAAGCAGAAGGTTATACTGGTAAAAGAGGATTAAACCAGATCAGCCCAGAGGTAGACGATGAGTTGTTTTGAAATGAATAATGACATGTCTTGAACTGGTTGATTCTATATCTGTAGTATTGATACTGGTTTGCATAAAGCAAACGAAACACTCTGGCAATGCATCCCACAAAACTCAGCATGCCCTTGTGTAACCTTGCCCCCCAACATGTGCTATAGAGCATCATGTGAAACTGATGCAATAACCGTGGGTGAACATCTTTCTTACCTAAGGCCAATGTTCAGACCTCTTACATAAGGCCAACAATTTTATTTCTGCCAAATACATTCTCACATGTTCTCTATCTCCTTGTCTGACACACACACACACACAATGAGAATACAATGCGAGCAACCACCCATATGGTCTGTAGGTTATTATGAGATTAGCCTGTGAGAAAAAGGCTTCTGGCCTTTTGTGCTCTCTGCAGCACTTTACTCCGACAAACCTGCTGGATGCTACAGCACCACTAAATCCACTGACCGCACCATCCATCATCACTTTTTCTGTGCTGGGATGCTGGCGCAGTGTGTGGCTCTCTGCTGTCCTGCGCCACAGATCGGATACATGTTGACTCAGACATGTTTAGATTATTATAATGGGTCAATTTGCCCAAACTACAATAAAGAAACACATTTTTGCCAATTTATCCTAGCGGTATTTAGTCATGCAAACAGTTTCTGGTCTCCACACAACAAAGGTGAATCTAATAGTGTTTCTGCACCTCAAAGTATTGAAAAATGATATTTGGAAAAAATCTATATAAACTTGACTTTCCATAAACAATAGCTCTTCACTCCACATATATACTTGTTGTTCCCAAAGTAGTTTACAGAGAGGTCATTGACTAGCCTAAAGTATCTGTAAATACAGCCAGGCCAAATAGCAAAATATGTATTTTTATGATTTCGGTGAACTGAACCTTTAAATGGAACATGTTTTCCATGTCAACGGAATGGAATTATACACATTACACTGTATGTTGCACCATTAAAGTAAAAAAAAATTACAACATATTTCCACTTGTTTCATCAGCACACACACCCACACATTGCTCACACATCACTATAAAAACTGTTCCTCACCTCTCACCTTATCCTTCAAAATATAACTGTGCAATCTGTCTTCATTACAGTGTGTTTACTGTATCTGTGCACTTTTGTGTGAGTATGAGAGATGCACCTTTTTGGCCCTCAGCTATGAAAACCTCTTGAAAAGCCATTGTTGTCCATATTTAAACTCCCTCATGTTAAGAGGATTATTTATTACAGACATAATTGATTTTCCATTCACTTTTCTGCCCTGTAGGAAGAAAACAGCAGAGTTTTCTGTTGGATGGCTCAGAGTCTCCTGATGTCTTTTTTCTAGACAGTTGGAGGAAGATGTGCATTCTGAGATAGATGCACACAGCACAACAAGGTACTTCTAGGACACAGCTGAGCCGGGCAGTATAATGGTCAAACTGAAGACCACAGCCTGAAGTTACAAAACCAAGACCAAGATACAAAAATGAAGAGAAACACAAAATAATGACTAAATATTGGGTTGTACTGATGCCACATCTGATTTTTGGCACCACTAAAGGGACCTAAAAATGGTAGTGTATTGCATGTTTCAATAAAAGCCACTGGGAGCCATGTTCATGGGTCAGAAGCTAGAGGACTGAGTTAATGTCACAGACTTAGCAAGTCCCACCACCTGCCAGTGAGTCGAGTTGGTTGTTTTCGTTGAGTGTAACACACAGTGACCATGACATGTAGCGTCACATCATTTGACAGAAGCATGGTACAGAAGAATAGTCATGGTACCACAGAAAATTTATCAAATTGAATGCGTTTTTTGTTGTTAAATTAACAAAGTAAAACTGTCCAAGGCTGTGTTGCAGTAATGACCGTTGGAGAGTGCAAGCGACAAGCAGCGTGTCAGACCGGAAATAGGTTGTTTAAGTCACGCAACCTAAGTCACATAAGATTAAAATGTGGTTAACATTATGAAGCAGTCACAGTTTGGTTAGGTTTAGCTGACAAAAAAAAGGTTTAGGCAAATCATGGTGTGGGTTAAAATAAGTGTGTCACATTATGCAAGTAACACAGTGTAAGTGACGTATGTAACATTAAAACTTTAAATAAGTCATAAGGACATGAACCCCAGTCTCCTGGGTCCAATGTTTGACCCATTGACCCCCTCAGTCACTTCCATATGTGGACTTTCTCGCTCTTACAGCTCCCATCATAAATACTAGGACCACCAGAGGTTGCTAATCAACAATAAACTTAAATATTGGTTGTAATAGGTTGCGTCCACAGACGGCTGGTTTTCTGGTGATTAATATTCAAGGTGCAACAATCATGTGTACCAGCTCTGAGAACCTAAGCAACAAAACTTGCCTGTATCTTCCAAGATCAACCAATATGACAACTTAGTTTTTGTGGATGTCTCCTGATCTGCCACTGCTACTTTGACAGTACTTAAAGTGCAGAACTTCTGTCATTTTATTCTAGTGGATTTCAACAGAAGTATCATTTCTATTTCAGAAATATTTCAGTGAAAACACAAATAACAATATTAATAACATTGATATAAAAAACAATGTTAATGTTTTCTTGCTACATTAGCAGTCAATAAAAAAAGATAAATATAATGATGTACATTTATTGTGAAAAGGTGAATACACTGTGTAGCAGCTTTCATATTACAGTGGATGAGGACATCAGTTGTAACACTTTGTTTATTTGGCTGTCAATGTCAAGTCTTTGTCTAAGTGTGAAAACTAAAATCAGGACCTAATACGTTCCTAATAATAAGACTGCAATTTCACTTCAGATGTCTAAATGTTTCTCAGTGAGCTGTTTCATAAGAAATCAACCCTGTCTGACACACCTGGACGATTATATTCATTTCCATATATATTTCATTTTAATTGGCTTTGGAAAAAGACTCAAAGTCATGCATTTTCCTTTATGAAACTTTAAGACAGCGTGAAAGTGATACAGCTAAGGCCACTGATGTGCTAATTAGCATGTGACATCATCTGATCCTCACTACAGGTGGACTGCATAAGCCAAAGATCTATTTTAAAATCAGTAAAATCCCTGAGCAGCACTGTAGCTAACAAGGACTATAAAGTACGTTAAAAAAAAAAACCTGATCACAGGCATCACAATACATTTGACAGCAATATATTTCAAGCATGTGTAACATGGGGATACCTTTAAATGGCCTTAATAGCCAGAAAGGCTGTGTCTTTGTCTTTGGTGAATCCTCTGAGACTAGTTGGGAGGGGAAGAGAGAAAGAAATGGGGCAGAATGGGCTTAAGAGGTTTACCGGCATTTGTGCAGCAGGTAAAATGGCCTGACACTGAAAAACCTGCAGAAAAGCTGATTTTGGTCCAGAGGGATGCAGCATTAATACAGGCATCAGGGAGAAAAGAGCCTGGCTTTGCATTCAGGCTTCCAATGCAGCAATTTACATCATTACCCGCTGACAATATAAAGACTTATTATGGATGTACACACATACACTACCTCGGAAAGAAAAAAATAAAACATACACACATACACTACTGTAAAAGTATGAATAAACACACATTCAAAAACAAATGCACCAAAAATTCTATTCATAACAAGTAATACACAAACTGTGACCATTAAGTTTAATATAGTAAATGAATACATACATTCCTCCTTATTTATCTCTCCCACACACTCTCACTTTCCAGTAGTACATCAGCTCCAGCCAACAGCCATCATTTCAATTTACAACAACTGCAGTCGTTAAACAACTATAATCAATGAGCTGTTTAGACCACACCCTTTTCTTCCTGATCCACACCACTGCAGAGCCACAAACACACACGTCTGACACCACTACTAACACACACACATACGCATCAAGCAAGCTGAATATACACAAACAAAGAATGTATAAATTATGTTGAGTCCTGAGTTAGTCCTGAGGCTGTGTGATGGAGGTGGTGGTAAATCTTTTCTATGGTATTTTTAAAAGCTACAATTTTTGTTTGTTTTGTCAAAACACACTAAATTCTGTCTCTGAACACAACCGATTTATTTTAAATAGAAAATACAGTCCAAGATTTAAAGATCCCCTCCAGATTTTTATAAAGACATTTATATAACAGTCTGCTTGGAACAATAAGGTGTCTAAAAAAACATTGTTTTACACACATTCCACAAAGTCCTTAAAAAGGCATCTACTCCTTCTACCTCATTAAAAATTTCAGAATGTATGATTATGCAACTTTTTCATTTCTAAAGGTTACTGCAGGACACAAGATGTCATCTTCATCACTGAAGTCCATTCTCAGTGCTGATCCACTGATCAGCACCGCGATTAGGCGTTTAAACATTGCTACCCTCACTGACGGACAAATAAACACTGAAATAACCAGAAACGAAAAAGAACAGGGGTCAGCTGACTGTTCAGGGGCATTTTTTTTTTAAATCTT